TATCGTATCATGTTTCTGATTCCGGCGACCGGATGCACGCGTCTCTGTCCTCCGAAACGATGTACCCTGCTCGTCGATGACGCAGCCATTCATCCCGCGGCTACGATTTTAACCCAACAGGGGTGGATACTGGCGAACGCGCTGTGTTTTGTCGATCTTGTTGCTGTTTGTTACGATTATTGGGAGATTCAACAGATGGTAGGAGGCTGGAGGATGATCTAGGTGAATGGCTATTGGGTGGATATCGGTTTGCGATTAATGATTGTTTGGTTTTGGCGATCGGAACAGTGTGGTGGTTGTGTTGTTGAGTTTGTGGAACGAATCTTGGGAATCGGTGAAATTGAAGGGAGACATTGTTTCGGATGGTGGTTCTTTGTATTGATTCGGTGGAATTCAGATTGTATTGTATCAAATTACTTTGCGATTGCGCAATATATTTGCGGTTGGTCATAAAATGTGATTGTGTCGTTGAACGAAACGAATGTTGAGGAATCGGTAAAGTTGAAAGGATTGAACGACTGTGTGATCAGAATTTATTTGCGTTGATTAATAGTATGATGATTCTATCGAGGAATGAAGTTAATGTTTTTTTAAATATTTGTTGAATATTACGAAAAATGTCTTTGATCGATTAAATACGGAGGAGAGAGATAATAGGGTTTACTAAAACTTGTAGAATATTCTGCTCTATTTTTTCCAGATCGTTCTGCATTTCGTATGCACGATGCTCACAGGTTCAGTGCTCATTAATTAAAGTGCGCCGAGTGAACTGATGTTCGCGAATTTACGATGCAAAATTCTTCTTATCGTTCTTGATCTACATCTTCGTTATCATTCCCGGGGAGTTACTCGGAGGAGTCTATGCTTTATTAAAACCAGTTTCCGCGTAATAGGTGTTTAATTTGCTACGTAAATGTAATTCATACGCTACGGAAGCGGCTAATCAAATATATTCGTTGAAATCTGAAACGGCCGTTTAGATTAGAAATTTATCTGGCGATTCGCTTAACAAGCGTTTCGTAAATCGCCAGATTAGCTGGAACATCATTTCCATGAACGTGAAAACTGCGACCAGGCACCGTAACCGACTTTTTTTTCTCTTAATCTCCCGCGGCGTTGAGAAACCACTGATAAGCGGAAGACGCACGGTCGGGGTCCCGATTTTCGACGGTTATCGTTCAGGCCTTGAACATTCTGTACCGTGATTTCTTAAAAAACAGGAACACGCGATTTCGTGAAAGTTTCGACACCCGGTATGCTGTAACGGTGTTCGCGGTTTTTTTGTAAAATAACTGTTTCCCCCGGATAATCGAAACGTGGCGATTAAAATTCTTAACTTTTCATTTCTTAGGTTTTGGAAGCGATAAAGGTAGATTACAATAGTTCAAAGGGAAAGTAAAGTTAGATTATAATAATGAAAGAAAAAATAAAGTTATGTTAGCATAATTTAATGAAAAAATAAAATAAAATTAGAATAAATTAAAGAAAAACTAAAGTTAGATTACAATAGCTTCTTTAAGAAGAACAAGGAATAAATCTGGATGAGATGTAATGTACAGTTGATAAATGTTTAATGACGATTTCATGTTCTCGACAGTAGGATTGATAATTGACTGAAACATCCATACGTAATATCGATTGTTCAATAATTGTATCTCCTACTCTCGAAAGTAGAATTAGTTCTGATTTCGTCAGACCTCCTCCGGCCACTTGCACAATAAAAGACAAGCTCGTCGTAGGTATTAGCGAATTAGAGCGTGAATTTATTAATAATATGAGTTCGTATTTTATTGTGCAACGCGCCCCTGGTTTCAGTTTTCAGATGACTATCGTTTCTACTCTTCGAGGTGGAATTAGACTAATAAATTCCGACTTTAAGTAGGCGCATTAACTATCGCTCCCTTAAGATCTGAGTTTCGAATCTGGTGGATCCTATTTAGATGCGGGACGCGTGCACGCAGATGAAAATCTGAATCCGGATAATGGAACTGTTTACGATACATCTGGAAAGTAGAACTTTCACGTGCACAGATTGCATAATGTTACGTGTCACTCGAGACATATTTTCCAGTGGAGATCTACAACAATGGACACAGGCTTCGCAGTCAACTGTTAGACGCTTGGTCAGTGTTATCTGCGCAACATTCTCAAGCGAATTCCATGTAAACTACGAAAAGATAAATTTTCTACTTCTTCGATTTTGGTACACAATTTTCAAACATACTCATCGACAGTATCCTTTTCCAATGAAAGTTGAAAATTCATCGAAACATAAGTACAAGCGTATCACGTGATGATAAAAATCTACAACAGAACCTAAGTTAACAATACTAATAACAAAATTGAATACTATTAACAAAACCTAACACTATTACCATGCACTTAAACTGACTTTTGAAAATCTCATAAAAACTACAAGCGTGGATTTATTAATTTCAGCTTAGGTATTAATCAACTTCTTTACTAATTTCTCAGAGATATTCATACCTCTTCAATAATCGCAAAAGAGAAAAATCAACGAATGTACATTGTACCATTTGGTGGTTCCACTGTTAACAAAATTCTAACAAAATGACAGAACATAAGTAAACAACAATAAAATCTAATCGACGCAGTTGCGCGGTTCCAGCGCTAGCTATCGCGTAGAAAACGCAATAAAGAAGATGTTGCGTGTTCGCGAACACTGCTCGGAACATCGCATCGCCGGCGAAAGAAAATCCTGGCTGGGTTTTTGCTGTTCGGGAAAACGGTACAGTTAAGTAACGATACGGGACGTTTTGCGTATGGTTTCTTCGGGCTGACCTCCACGGGTTTCTTGCTCGGCGTTAGCGGCCGTGCAAAGGGGAATTTGTACGGAAAGCTGAAATTTTTAGTGGGGTCCCGAGCGGATGGGGTTCCGCATGGTCGGTCAGCTTGAACCGTCCACCGGCTGAATACTATCATGACGTCACTCGGCTACGGTCACTGCCTGAATTATTCAGTATTCCTTCGTTTCTACTTGTACACTGTGGCTAGGCTCTTTTGTACTAATGGTCGTCATCGTGTACATACGGTACCGTTCATAATTATTCGAACGGTGGACGAGTAATTCGCGTTGCTCGGAGCAAAACAATGATGCACCGTTTACTTCGCTTCTTTTTTATTCTATTATCCATCGTTAGGGAACTGTGCTGTGGGATTCTTTTAATTTTCACTCGCATGCATGGAACGTATTATTCTGTCCCGAGTGTTAAATTCATTGTTATTTAGGTTTTCTGTATAATTTTGTAGCGTATAGAAATTTATTTGAAACTGAAGACAGTGTAATAGTAAACAATCTTTGGAGGAATTATTCTAGTCATTGAATCTGTAATGTTTCTCGAGGTAAAATAGTATGGGGAAGTTAGACAAGTTAATGAGAAATAGTGTGATAACTATTTGCCAGGAATTTTGAGTGACGCAAGGAAACTTCTATTCGTCAATGAAAATATTGAGCGAGCAGTGTGTACCAGAGGAAAGCACCAGATACGAGTACAATAATAACGCGACCTGGCGAATGTTATAATTAAGAAATTAATAGAGCGAGTGTGTGGTTCGTGCACACTCGCCGTGCAGTCCGGGTAGTTGAATCGGTTACTTCAACGAGTGTGAAGTAGCTGCTAATGAAATCTGTAATACATCATTATTGTGCAAGCGGAGGCCTGATTCTAATTCCTGATACGAAGCAAATGCCTCTTTCTAAACGCTGCGAAAATGGAGAAACGAATTGTGCGAGACTTCCATGAACCCTTCACGCGTAGTCTCCTCGAGAATTATTTAGGTGACGATTAAATCTCCAGTCCAGTCAATTCTTCGCTTCAATTTTCTGTCATCGATCACTCGTTAAAAACTTGCTGAAAGAAAAGACTTCTTGCAGAACACTTGAAACGAATCAAAGGATTAAGCAATAATCCATCGACCCAGATCTTTGATCCATTTTGTCGGACGGTTTCTTTTTGGTTTTGCTTCGTAAAATAGAATAAAACAATATTTAGTAATTCTCAATGAAATAAGTATTACAGTTATATATAAACTAGGCAAGCAGAAAAATTCCATACACATCAACTATTTATTATCGTGATAATTATCCATTTCCCATTAACTACCGTACCCTTCAAAATTAGTTCTTCGCAACGATTGATAAACATCACTTTAATAATAACTGGTTCCACTCAAATACTACAACATTCGAAGAAATCGAGGCAAACGTATCGATCTTTACAAAGGACTGCACGTCGATTCTAACAAACACACTTAATTCTAGCGTGAAATGATGAAGAGCTCGAAACAAAAAGACGGCACGAAATCAACGCTCGCCCGTATCTCCCTTCACATTTCCGCCAGTCGTCCTCAGCCGTCCACGAAAAGGCAGGCGTGTGTCAGGGACAGAATTCTTCTGTCTGCCGTTTCAATAACGGCGATAGCGGTTGAACGCGGCGACCGATTCGAACGATGAACGCACGACTCTTTCAACATCTCGCGCGTCCTGGCTTCGTTATCAAGCATGGCCCATCGCCGGATATCTCGCAACTCGTACCGTATTTTTCCCGCCATTGTATGGAAATGTCAGAAACCCTCGTGTTTCTGCGTGCAGCTCTTTTACGCCCGCCGAAAAGGAGAGAAAAAGAGGTGAAAAATGCAAATGTCCCTCGGAGGAAACGGCCGAGGGGCAGAAGGGGCGCCGATTCTTTCAATGGTGCCGGCCGTTGTCGACACGCACGCTCTTAAACGGGCTTCGATTAGTAACTCGTGCAACTGTTCGACGGTTAATTGTTTGTTCGATAATGGCCTCGTGACTGGAATAACTGAAACTCGCTCTCCCAGCCGGCGGCGCCTTTTCATTAGAATTCTTCGCGGCCGCACGCGCCGGGATTCTCCAAGATGGCGACCGACGCCGGTCATTTCGAGAGTTTTGTCAGGTTTCGGGAATTCGGGTGTACGTATTCGGATTTTTATTGAGAATATGGACTCGTTATGCGTCGAGTGCTCGAGACGAACGTTTAGGGGATTAATCAAGTTTGTTTATTGGAACTATGTTAGGCACTGAACTTTGAATTAAAGTAAACTAAAGGCACTTGACACTGAACTGATCCGAATTAAACTGTTTGATTCTTTAGAATCTTGAGTAATTACCAATATAGATGTTAGGAGTATACATACAGATCGTTTTTGGAAGTTTCTTTGAAAGGATGAGTTCAAAGGAGAGAAGTCAATGGTGGGGAACTGTTGAACGCCACTGTATATGGTACTTGATGAAATGGTAACGTTTCGGATTCAACAGAAGTTACTAAGAACGAATACCTACGTTTTTGGTACACGTTAATGAAGCACACGCGCACATTTCGCAGTACACAATTAAATAATAGAAACTTCTGACCATAGTTGGCAATAGGATCAGCGAGATCAGAAGCTAGATCGAGCCGTTTTTATCAATTCTTTCAGGAACAAAGGAAAACAGTAAAATGGCACAGTTAATGGCTTAATTTAAAACGGTCTTGTCTGTATAATCTCCCTTCTAATCTCGACGATTCAATTTTACGTCTGTTGCGAGGGGCTTGAATTCTATAACCATCAGAAAGGAAATAGGATTACTCGAAAAGTGAAAAAGTGTTACTCCGGAGGGTCTATCGGCAGAAGAACTGTGTTTGTTGCACAATAAATACGCGTACGCTCTGCTAACGACGGTTTTGTGTTCACTCCACCGTGTGAGAATCTCCTACGCAAGGTGAAACCTTGTATTAACGCGTGCACACATTGCGCCTCTTTCTTCCTTTAAAAAAAGAATTATTGCGCCCAGGAAAGTTGTACCAGAAACCAGACGCTTTTCGCGCGAACAATAAGCACGCCACTTCGGAAATGTTAATTAATTCGCGAAGACGCCGATCGCGCGCTGCACGTTCTTCAGCGATGCCTAATAATTTCATCTATTTGCACTTTTAACGCTCTATAATGTTAACACAATTTTCTCTATCGAAATTTCCAACAAAACGCGACGGGAACATTTGAAAGGCTAATGCACCGAGTTTTTAATAGCCACAGTGTTATGAAAACGATAATTTTCGGATTACCAAAGTTCTCTTTCTACACAGTCCAATTAAATTAAGAACTTTCGAATACTTCTGAAATACACTTTTACCGTGTTTTACCGAGAAGAGTGTTTATTTTCTCGAACGCACGTTCTCTAGGTCTTATGATCATTAACGCGTAACTCAATGAAACAATTCGACATTAAATTTCTTTGGTTTTGCATACTTTGCTCCGCGAAATTTTGCAGCGACGTCGTCTCATTAGCAGTTGAGTCGCTCACAAGCCAGTGTGGACCATTTTTCGATATTTTCTGATGTCTGTCAATTCTAATGGAATAAATAATATCCTATTGCTATAAACCAAAAGTTTTACCAACCAACGTGTTAAAGAACATTAATTTTCTCAATTTTTTTCCGGTCTCAACCGCATCGGCTTTCGAGCAACATCGACGCCGAATATTCTTTTCAATTTTCTTCTGATATTCACGTTGTCTCGACACGATCGTCTCAATTAATTAATCCGATCGTTATGTTATAGCAATGCCAGTCGCTGATCGACGAGAACCGAAGATTGCAGGACGCGTTGACGGTGAATCGGACGCCCCACACGCAAATGATCGACAATGTCGTTCTCCAGACGCAGATCGAAACATTGCAGTGGCAACTGAAACAGGTTTGTATGTAATCGCGGCTAACGATCGTTTAACGTAGCCCGAGCCGCCCGGGAAACTGGTAATGCCCTCGACCAGATTACCTTGTACCGATTATTTAATCCTCTTCGCCGGTCGGACAATTTTATCGAGATAACGCGTTATTGCCGAATACCGAACCATATAAAGGATTCACGGGATCCGACGTGCAAGTGTGTCCCTTGACACTAAAACAGCAATGACTCATCGACGAGCAAATTGAAAACATTCTGAACGAAGGTTCGCGTTTCAAGCATCTTTCTCCGCGAGCAACGCTGAAGTTCTGGAAATCGATGCTCGATTAATTACGGGGAAAGTTCTAAGAGGCGAACGCCTGCTATTCCCGTGGCGAAGTGTTGTTTTTCCATATTTGCGTTGATTAATTTAACAAATTATCTTCTCCGTACATGGCAGTTTTGGTTGGCTGGCCCGAGGCTCACGGACGCTTATGTGTCCCGACACCTTGAGGTCTGCCATTCTTTTTTTCTTCGTAGCTGCAGAACACTTTCACTATCTTCAGTAGAAACTGCTCCTTTAATCTGACTAATACCGAGCGGAATGAGGTCCTTTTCCTACTCTGGTTCGGCCGATCGGGGTCGTGCGCACCGTTTTACTTTGAAATTCAAGTTTACGTGTGCCTCGGACGGTGTTTACTTATTTCTCAGATGAAACAATTTCGGTTTTGCGTCTGTATTATATACAAGGGGTGTTCGTGTTGACCAAAATTCGAAGATATTGTTAGATTCTATATTTGGAAGATATTAATTGTTATGAATGTTTAACGTGTTAGAGGATATTTAGATCGACAAGGTTACAAATGACTATAGAATTTACTTTTTATTATGCGTTTTTTATGCAACGTAATATAATTCACTTTGATCCTACTGGTACCTTTATCTTCAATCCTGTTCAAACAAAAGAATCAGATTTAATAAAACATTTGATTATAATTGGTGTACAATATCATTTTAATCAGGTACCTTGAAATATCTTCAGGACATAAAGCGTTTAAACATAAAATTCTTTTGAAACAATAGTTTAAAGTGATTTACTAATTGCCTTCTGTTTCAAATTACAGATAGAGGCGAACAGACAGATGTACCGTTCCCTAATGGAGCAGGTAGTGCGATTCCTGGACCGAGCCCGTAAAAGCTTGGATATTCTTCACGAGAAGAGTACTCTTAAGGATACGGGCTCGACTGGACGAGTTCCTCGTAGCCGAAGCGTCCACGCGGTTCACGCAGACTGTTCGCCAAACCGTGGTGCCTCGACGCCCTCTTCGTCTTCCTCTTCGGATTCGTCACGTTTTACCAGGGCGAAATCGGTCACACAGATCTCCCCATGTACCACCGGTTACCGAGAGTTCACCTGGTCAGTGCTGCGCAGGAACGACCCAGTACATTGCACGCCACCACGTAACAAGTCGCACGATCTCAATAAGACTCACGAGGGAGTAGTTTACAAGAGGCCAAAACAGCTGGAGCTAAATCCGAACGAGGTACCACCTGAGAAACTGTCCCAGGAAGCATTTAGGTGAGGACTTTAGCTTTAACTTTGTTTGGTACCATTGATGAAAATTATTTTGGTAATTGGAAAGATGATAACGTTGGTGTTATTTAATGCTGCAGGTTAATGAGAACTGTTCAATCACTGTTGGCCATGAGGGAACCAGATCTAGCAAGAATCACGCCAGACGATAACTGCATATGCGTATGTATATATAAACATTCATTATGACTAAAATAAACTTAATATCGCGTAAGTGAAAATGCTGGTTGTAGATAAATGAAGCTCTAAAATATTAATGAAGAATAAACTGGACAATAAACTGTCTATCCTGTCCATGTCATAAATTAAACTTTAAGAATCTTTAATTATGGTGTTGCGTATCGGACGGAACAATAACATTGAACCTTCTCCTTCGCAGGTAGATCAGAATAGACATAACAATCATCACAACGAGGTATCACTGTCTCTGCAAAACAATAGCTTTGTAAATTCGACAACATTACAGGAAGCTATCAGTTACACGGATCGTCGCAATTGTGATCGTGAAAAGGAATCAAGAGGTACAGATAGTGACAATAGAACTTGTTTCGTGAAAACGTTGTCCCACGTTGTCGAAGCTAACAGGAGCTTACAAAATCTTCTTCCGGGTGGTAGGAGGTCCATTGATGCTACGTCGCTCAATTCAGGAAGCAGTAAAACCACTGAAGAGGAAGATGTTCTTCCGGCTAATAACTCCTTCAATGTTACACTGCCAGAACATGACAGGACGTTCATGTTTACACCGACTTCTACGCCAAATAAATGTACCAGAAAAATTGAGAAGAAAGAAAGGGAAAGATATTCTAAGTCTAAACCAGCTGCCAGCGTAAGCAGCGTAGAGGATGAGAGTGGATTCTCCTCGATGAGTTCATTTCAAGAAATTGGATTACCCAGTGCTCTGCCAATTTCTCCTATCAGAGGTTGTCACACGGAAGTTGGTCTTCCTGAAGTACCTTTGGACAAAACAAGACATCGTAGGTGGTCTTCCACACCAGTTGAAATTCAAGCCCTTTTGAAGCAGCATCGACGTAGCTTTACCACATCACAGACTACAACTGAATCTCTGAGCGTTTGGGTTTGAGTGAATCCATATAAATGAATTACCGAATGAAAGTATCTAGTGATAAATTTGATGCACCGACATTCTACAAATTAAGTGGCTGAATGTCGAATGCAATTAAAAATCGGTAGAATATAACTTTATGTAAATATTTAAGATACTGCCTATTCACTCTGCATTTTGTTCGCTTTTCGCCAAGAGTACTTAGTTGCAAGAGATAATGCATGTAACTTGTGCTTTAAGTCTGGAGGTCTTCTGTTGTTTATATTCTGAAACAAACTTTGTAAGCAGGCTGATAAACATAATGTAGAATATAAATTTGTTCAAAGCTTTGTTAGGTAGTCAATGAGTATGTGAGTGTAGCAAATATCTTACATATAGGATAGAGAAAGAAGTACATAATTAATGTTAATTAGGTGCAAAATATTTTGTAAAGTTTGTATCAAATATTTGCATTCTACAAACAATTGATGACGATTAAAAACCAAAAATAGTATTCAACTATACTGTAAGATCTTAAGCATGTGACAAAATAATTCGTACTGTACGTAATGAAATTGTCTTTCTAAGTTAATATTTGACATTTAAGAAGAATTTCAAATGAAACAAATACTCCTCCCCTTATTTTATTTAAGCATACATCAAACTAAAACACTCTGTGCATCTGTACTTAAAATGTTCATTCATAATAACAATCTCACGACAAACTGTAAATCACTTTGTAAGTTTTGTACATAAAAGAGTGATGCGCAACAAATCCAGCATTCTACATCTGACAAACTGTGTACGAGAAGTTACAAATTTCTCAGCATCGTTGGAGCTATTCAATTCTCAACGAATCACAAGATTCATAAACTTAAACGAATATTGTTTCTTAACACACTAACTTTATGCGTAGAAACGCATGAAATCGTGATGACGGATTATCTCGAATAATTCAACGACAAACCATTCAAATTCAAATAAAGAATCTATTCCAAAAACATCGACAAACTTATTGCAAATAACACATATACAACCAGAGAGACACAGACAAGAATCTATACCATTGCAACCATACATTCAAAATAACGTACCATCAAGTGGTAAACATCATTCAACCGTTTCCATCTCAGAAGGTCCACAGTTCATTTCGAAGTTAGTGTCAACAAGAGATCTCATAAATTAAGAAATATGAAAAGAAATCTCGTGATCGAAGAGTTTACAAGAACCGTTGATCATGACCGAGAAATTTGTATTGCGGTACGAGGTACAACGGACGACGTGCGCGGAGGGTGACGGGGGGACCGGAGGGGACGGTCAGAGGACGATCGATGCGCGCGCATTGCGATAAGGCAAAAGTAAAGACAGTGTTCGTTATCAGTACGGCAGGCGTCGTTCACTTGTTCGCGAGTCGGTCCAGAGGGTAGCCAGGAGATTGCGCCACCAGCCGAGCCACTTTTAGATTGATTTTCAAGAGCACCGTGCACAGGGTAGCGCTCCGCGTTTATTTTAACGTGGCCAGAGTGTTCGAACGGGCCGCGACCGTCTCGGGTGATAGTTGTAACAGCGTGACGAGGTGAGAGGTTCGGGTGCGGGCGCCTTTTCTCTCTGCCGGTCTGGAAGAACGTCATTCGATCGTGTCCCACGGGAGGCACAATCGGTTCCCAATCGTCGCGCTCTCCTCGCTGTTATTACACGTTCGCCCTCGTGTGTGCCTGTTCGCTCCGCTTCACGTATACATCCGCAGTTCTCGCGTGCCCGCATACATAAACCGTATATACCAATATACACGGCTCTCGCTCGCTCTTCTGTGCGGTGTTCCTCTCCCCCCTCCTCCCTCCCTCCTCCCCCGTAATATACGAACGGAGCTGGTGTGCGTGTGTACCTCGGAACGTGCGGCTTCGTGGCGCAGTGCGTGAAATGAGTGACAAGGACCGTTCTTCTCCCATCCTCGTTGAAAACAGTCTCAAGTCGCTACTGGACCAGCCTAGTATCTTTCCACTGATCGGTGAGTACTAAAAAAACCGAAGAAATAAAAAAACACACACACAGAATAGAAAAAAATATATGTACACACGAACGACTCCGATTCACAAACGCAACCGAGTATCTTTAGAATGCTCTTCTTGACGCGGGCTCAATATACATCCTCCCCTCTGCCCCTCTGGGCCGTCCCCTCCTAACCCCCTCGCGCTCGATCGTCTTCTAGACACGCATTCCTGCTTTTCTTCGAAATTCGCGCAAATACTACTTCAGCGCTGACTAGCGGCCGTCGAACGAATACGAAACGTAATTTTTTTTTCGCTCGCTGTGTCTCTCTTACTTTCTCTCTCTGTCTCTTTCTATGTCTCTCTATCTCTTTCTCCCTCTCTCTCTCTCTCTCTGTCTCTGTCCCTCCGTCCCTCCGTTTCGTCTCGGTGTAATACCTCGTGACCGCGCGGCGCGATGTCATTCGATATTTCCATCGGTCACGGGCTCGTTCTCTCGCTCGGTGATGTTGGAATTTTCCTCGTACCGTTCCCGACGGTTTTTTGCCCGGTGTTCGACCGTGACGTGCGACGTGTGTACACGCTCGCTCGCGAAGCGGGGCGGCGACGGCGGGGAAGCACGAGAAACGGGGCTGGAAGGAGCGAGGGAGGCGAAACGTGCGATCGCGACGCGTGAAAATGACGGGCCGAATCCTAACGAAATTAACGTAACGAACGAACGAACGAACGGACGGATGGACGAGGGAAAAAAATGGAGAAGGAAAAAGAGTGAGAGAACAGAGGCACACAGGCGGTCAGCATTTGTGTTGATTGGTTGCGCCGGCGCTCGGTACTCTCGGTCTCTCGATTAACCTCGTTTGGACCCCGTGGTGCACCACGTGATGCTACCAACCTAACCTCACTTTCACTTACTCAACCTGCATTCGACTGTACTTGTACCCCCTCGGTTCGGCTCGGCTCAATACGGCCGCTTCTCGTAGAGCGGTGTACTCTAACCTTTCCGATTTGACCATGGAATCAGCGGCCGTTAATGCCATGTGATAGAGTTAAGTGGAAATTGGCAATTTCGCGGCGGAACAATGGACGCGTTTATCGGGGACCCATCGTTCCTCGTGGCTGACGGGAAAAATTTGTTGAGTCGGGTTTGTAACTATTGTTTTCATTCGACTTCAACGACGTCGTGACTTCTCTCGTTTATAAATATATGTTTGTTCAGTACTATATATAACTGTAGATATATTTATATTTATATTTATATATATATATGTATATGCATGTGTAATTCTTTTCTTATTTCGGTGTCACCGCGGGAGGGGACGCCAGAGAGGGGGAGAGAGTTAGAACGTTGGTAGTATTTGTTTTGTCTGTTCGCCGATGATACTTGGGACAATGTATTAGTAGTTTTACGTCAGTCCCGTAAATTGGAATTACAGGCGTAATAGGCTCGGATAATTGACGCGTAACCTCGAATAACGGTTTGAAGCACGCTTCGCGGTATTCACGAAAAATCGACCTCAAGATCGAGTAGCGTTGTTGCGGAGTGGGGAGGGGTTTCGATTGTCCTAACTATCGAATAGTTTATCGAACAGTTTCGATGACCACATGGACCCCGAACCGTTAAGAGGCTGACAGTTGTTGTTTAGTAAAAATACTGGTTCCTGTTTACTAAATGTTTCTGTTTATTTATGATGAACACGTGGAGCAGTCGAAGATTCATAGAGATCCACGGAACAGGCGTTGCCGATCTTTTAACGGTTAAATATTTCCTTTTCAAAATGCTCGATTTTCAAGGTTAAATCTGTAATGAAATGTAATGTAATTAGTAAGTCAGAGCTATTATATAAGCTACTTATTAATTGATCTAAGTAGCACATTTGAAAATCAATTACAAATTGATGAAGCACTGTAATCTAGAATAAGTGCTTCGAATCCTCGTTCGAAGTCACCGTTCAATTGTCCATCCGCCATGTTTTTTTAACGGCCAATTCAAAGGCAAGCCGTTTGAACTCAACATTTACCATAGTTTCCGTAATATCTACGTAAATTATGCCGATTACGATACGAAGTTTATTTTAGTCGTACCGGGAAATAATAAATTAGACTTTCCTGTCGAGCTGCATTATCTGCGGACCAAGGTTCGAGTTTACCGCAGGTAATTGTACCTGGTACTATCGCGGCGCTACACACGTACCGAGGAATTTCGGAAACGTGGTCGAAACATATTTTTTTGTCTCATATTTTCCCTGTGTTTTTTTGCTTATGATATCCCGATTTGATATGATAAGCATCACTAATGAATAAAGCCGGTTATTAATCATACCTCCTGCAGAAAAGCATTATTATATTATTACAAAAATAACGAACTTAAAGCAACAACTTGGTTTACCAGTGACTTAAAACGACTCCATTTTGTATAAGACTTCAGTTCAACACGTTGAACGCACGATTTCATACAGCAAAATGCACAAAATGGACAGAATATAATATTACATCATCTGATTGAATGTTCATTCGATAGTATTGTTTATAACATAGAAACTTTGTCAAATAATCGTCTTTGAATTGAATGAACTATAGTAATTCGATTTGGTTAGGGGTCTCCGGTGACCCCATGGCATTCAACGTGTTAAACATTTTCTCAACCATAAACTTCCAACCATCCAACTAAATTATATTCAGAACTATATTGTCATCATTCATTTCAGTTCTAAGCAATTTTAAAAGGAATGAGATTGATGACTATCCCTGCAATTCCGCCCAATGAATTTCTGAAGAGTTCCCATTGAAGGATGAAAGAGAAAGATTAGGGAAAAAAGGCGACAGCCAATCAAACGCAGAAAATAGAATCGAGTGAAAGATTAGCCCGGTAATTATTTCGATGGTGTTCGAGTAATAAGTCGAAACGTAGAGACGATAAATTAAGGACAGTTCCCTGACTCAACGTAATGGCTTACTTCCCATTCAACTTTGCAACCAGTTTCATACGGCACTCGCGACGGAATAGGTTTCATTATAAGGTGACATCGAACGATTAGTGTGCGTCATTTTCCTCGTACAAAAAGAGCGGACGGTTTAACGAGTTGTTTTCCCGGGGCGTAATTATGGCCGGGCTCGCCGCCGTTTCTTAATTAATTTGTGGACACAAAGTATCACGGCGCTGAATCGTTCGAGTCGCATTGTGCTGTTACTTTTGTCACCGAACAGTAAACGGAGAATAATGCAATTAGAGGACAATTAGAGGAATATTGTACAATTTTGATTATTCAGTTTCAACCGTTCATTTGGAATACATTCTTATCATACAAATATAAGAGAAAGAAATCTCATTTTTCACATAGTTTGTACATTCGTATAAGTATCACTTATTTCATCATTAATCTCGTTTTTTATGTTTGAATTGTTTAAAAATCGAGATTCTTTCTTCTACTGTGTAATTAATATCCGATGGCAAATGTTACGGATACAGAAGTTTATCGAGAAAATAAATGGAGCGAAGACTTCCTTGAAGTCGAGTCTATTTTCGAAATCGCCTTTGGTCGAGCATTTTAAACGAATTATCTCTGTTTATTTTGTAACCATATTATTTTGGCAGATATCGCGCCTCGTGAATGAGGCGAGTTATTAAGATAACTATACAGAAAGTCCAGGTCTACTATCGTTATCAATATTTTGATTCTCGGGCTTTCCGATTCGCAGTCGATTCCTCTTTAAATTACGTTTCAATAATAAAGAGAACGCTAGAGTGAGTAATAAGATTTTGAGCTTCTGAACACCGTCCACCAAAATGGGAAAGAGCAGTTTCTCATCAATGTGAAGAATGATTTTCGAACCAGAAATTCCCCATAAGGAAATCCCGATAAAACATCTTCGTAAAAATGGCTTAAAACGAGCTCATTAAGCGCCGCTATTAGATAAAGAGTAGTCCCCCTAACGACATTACAAACTTCGTCCTATTCAGTTTATCACTGAAGACTAGTTAACTCGGCTTGGCCAGTTAAAAGGTCAACGAATGATTAAAAATGCGGCGGTGGGTAATTTTCTGGCGAGCCGCGTGCTATCGACGAACCACGCGCGATTGCTTCTGAATCTCGTAGCCGCCTCGAACACGCACAGCTCTAGGTCCGCGACGTATCAGTAATTCGTATCGCAGACATCGTCGATAAAACTAAAGATTCTTCGAGCGGTGTGTGCGCAATACATCTTCAAATTGTATCTAGCGATCCAATAAAAGCTCTATCAGTGGCAATAAATCTCTATTTAACTAGATTTCCAATGTTTATCTGACATTAAAAGCTATAGGAAAATAGATAATAGACAACATAAAAAGTCCGTTAACATTCCGATACCCGTTCCACTTTCAGCTGATTAAACACGTACACGCGCTTCACGTCTACTTACATTAATCACTATTTTAATAATGAATCCAGGGGAGTCAGGTGTGACAGAGATCTTTCACAAGTTAATCTCACGAGGAGACGGTCGGACGTTAGAATCTGTTTTCGAATGAAACTATTCATGTTGTAGTACATATCTACAAATGAGAATCCCTCGTGGCTTTTTCAACAATGGTCCTCCGAGAAAATTGAGTTCCGAGTTTGTATGTTACGGTAATAACACGGTGAATAGTATTGCAATAATAAAATACAAGTTACTTAAAAATCGCAGTCAGTTACCATTCAGACTTAGTGTCAGAATTTAAAATCGAAAGCATAGAAACTATGTTCATTTCTTTCATACTACATTTTCACCGTAGTTACACGAATTTACATGAATGCCCACTGATTAGTTAGGGTACAAGTTGGTTATCTTAGGGTACAGCTCTTGGTTTGACCAGTCTGGGAATTAATAGGCAATTTTAAATCGCTAGATGTATGTTTTATATGGAAGTGTTCGGTTATAAAGTTTCTCGATGTGTTCAACATTGCCTAGAATAATTAACGACCCGACTCCGTCTGCCAAGGTTGCTAGGACTGGACACGGCTAGGGTCAAACCGTCCACGAGGAAAAGGTCTGCCATCCATGTCCTAAATTTCTGGTTTCTGCGTTTACCTCGTAAACCTGTTTAAAAAGATTAGGCACCGTGTTACTGGAGAACATCGGTAGCGCTACGTTCTACGCGAGACCTCCGCCTTTTCTTTCCTCTTTGCAGCAAGATCGAGCCAAGGAATGCGTCCACCTACTTAATGATCCACGTGGCGCAGAAGGGGTTGGCTTGAGCGACGAGCGGTCTCTGTTACCCTTTTTTCTCCGAGGCATTGATTGACGCGCGGACCGTGTTCTCTTGACTGGTTTCGGCTGTCCCCGAGTTGGTCCTTTCT